CGGTGTGACCAAGGAACGGGGTGCGAGACGATTTAATTGTCGCATTCCAGACCTAATTGACAGATCCGCGATCGTCAATCGTGAGAACGAGAGAGGGATCGTTCGCCGGGGTAACTTTGGACGGTCACCCTACAGAGAGTTCAAAGCGGGACCTGCTGACTCTCCTGTGGAGAGGGCATTGGCTGGGACAGCTGCGTCTTCTCCGGGACAGAAGGTAAAATTTACGGGTCCGTCATCCGGGAAAGGGCTTGACTCGACTCCGGAGGGGAACGGCCCGGACGGGAATGTTCGGCGACCCCACGGCCCGAATCGCGTCCCTGGCAACAGACCAAGGGATCAACTTTCGGACCAACCAAAACCTCGGGATTTCGGGAAGAAAAAAATTATAAAAGCCCGAAATCCCAAGGACACGGGGAGGTTGTGAGTGGAAGATTAGAAACAAGTTAGTCTGTTCTTAAGATGCGTTCCTAGACGACAAAGCGCTAAATGAAACAGCGTTAAACGAGGTCATTTTAACACATAGTAAATAGGAAAATGGGAATACGCGACCAAAAATAAACAAATTTTGCTTTAATTTTTGTAATGAAGGCTCTGTCTGGATCATTCGCTACAATTTAATTAATGATTTCGGTTATCCTTACCGAACTTTCACTAAGGAAATCTATAACAAGTTTCTGGGTTTTTCGTTTTGAGAATCATCCTTAAATAACGTTATCTGTAAATTAACTGACTACATGAGCTCAAATATGTTAAAACTGAACGCAAATAAAACAAAATATCTCTGCTTTGTAAATAGAAATAAAATTGTTGATATGGAACAATTTCAAATTGAAATAAATGAAAAGAAGATAGAAAGAATTAATTGCATAAAATATCTCGGTGTTTTGATAGACGATAAACTCAGATTTGATAGACACATGGAAAATTTAACTAAGACTGTCGCTAAGTTTACTGACATAATTAGGAAAATACAGGACTTTCTGAATATAAATACGATAATACAACTATATCACACGTGTATAGAACCGAAAATTCAATATGACATAATTATATGGGGAATTACATCCGATTACAAATACAACAAAATCATCTAATGAGAGCCACTTTTAAATTAAAGTACTATGAATCAATCTCCTATTGTTATCGAAAAGAAAAAAATTGACAACATAAAAACCTTTTTTTTTATATGGAGGAAAAATCAGTTTATTTGAAAAATTATAAAATTTAACTTTTTGTTAAAATTGTTGAGAACAATAGTTAATTTTTTTTTCCTTGCACAGTACATCAGAGAATGCTGTATGTTGATTTTATGTTTCCTATACTGGATAGCCCAAAAGTCATTGATAAATTTTAAAATTATATCTTTAATCTGATTTTTGAGCCACTTTTTGTACATAAAATAAACTAATACACATACAAACATGCTAATAAATTTCTTTTTTATATAGGTGAATGGATAAAAGTATTAGTTCAGTATAGACAATGATTTTATCAAATTGTAATTAACTAAGTATAAAGTATAATAATATGTAATAAAGATGTATAAAGAATATATTTCAACCGGTTGTTTTTATATATAAGTTTGTGCGCTGGACATCTGTAAATTTCATCTTTATAATTTTATTTATTAGAAAAAAGCATTATTTTAAAAAGTTAAAATAATCTGTTTCTAATAAATATTATTTTAATAAAAAAATTCTTTCTGAAATATTTTAAACCGATTAATATATTTACACTTAACACGGACGTAAAATCATGATGTGATCGTAATACGTCACGCGTTGTTAAAAATGTATTCTAACAATACCTAACGAATTGTTACAATGTATTATTCGTTTTTTCTATTGTAGGTGACCATTGTAAAGACAGAAGAAGCCGAAGAAAGGCAGAGAAAGCCCGCTCGGGTGAAGACAGGAGATGCTGACGGGGCGAAGAGGGGTGTCCGTGTCACGTTTCTTTAAGGCCCACTCGAGTAAAGAGGCCGACGGGAGATGGAGAGTCTTCCGAGTGTCCCGTAATTAATTAAGTCCCGCTCAAGTGAAGACGTCGACGAAAGGCGAAGAATGTTCTCTGTGTCGCAAATCTTTAAGGCTTGCTCGGGTGAAGACAGGAGATGCTGACGGGGCGAAGAGGGGTGTCCGTATCACGTTTCTTTAAGGCTCGCTCGAGTAAAGAGGCCGACGTTGAGATGGAGAGTCCTCCGAGTGTCCCGCATGTTTAAGACCCGCTCGGGTGAAGACAGAAGACACCGAGAAAAGGCGGAGAAGGATTTCTGTGTTCCGTTTTATTAAATTTCGCGCAGAGCGAGAATTTTTTGTTTTTGTTTATTGAGGTTCGGTATGAGTTTAAAGTAAATTTTGTGACCCTAACGTGCGTTTTATTATGACCTGGCATCTTAGTGGCTTTCTTTCTTTCTTTATTACTAGTTGTAATATTGTGTCCATTAGTTTAGATTGTAAGGATACGATGAGTTTCGAATAGTTGAATTTGAAGTATTCAGAAGAAATTATAAATATTTTCATTGTATGAGTTAGGACGAATGAAACTCGACAAGTGATGTCAGTCGCTTATAAAGTTGCATTCTTTCCAACTCTTGGTGGAACTCTGAAGCAGCCACCTCCACGTGGTGAGTTCTGGGTTGTCGTTCGTCTGCAAATGACGAGTGGCAAGCAAGAGCTGCTTGTTTCTTTGAATTGATAATAAGAAATGAAAACATGCCAATAAAATCAGAAATTACAAAAGTAATTAAAATTAGGAGAATTGTGTACAGTATCTAACTTTGATATAAATAGCTTTAAATTTTGTCTAATTGGTGTTAATTCCTTTGTTTTAATCGTGATCGTGAATTTCAATTCATCTTAGTTGTGAATTATTAAAATATATGTCTAAAATAGAATGTTTGTTAGTTTTGTATTAAGTGTATAAGGAATATAATGCAACCGTTCGTTTTTATATACACAGTAAGACCTCGTTTAGCGCTTAAGATTCTAACCAGGATTACGGAGGAGAAGAAAACTTGAACGAGTGCGGCAAGAGTGAGGAAATTAACTTTCCGAGCACACTTCTCTACCCGGACTGGTGCGAACAGAGACCTAACTTCCAGGCGTGGATCTCTACTCCCCCAGACTCCAGAAACACCTTAGATTGGAGACGAACTTTCTCTTGTCTCTGAATCAATTTATCCTTGGAGACGAACTCTTTCATTTGGGAAAGAAACACTCGTCCGTAGGTACTTTATCTGTAAGCATGTCTTTGTCAAATAAACGCGTTGAATTGGTAAATAAGGCTCTGTGTGAGTCATCTTTGCGTCCAGCAAACCACTACCCCCATACGGAAAAGGCCTTTTCGCGTCATCCTGACAGATCGCGGTCAATGCGAGGGTCGTAACCTTTAACCGAAAGGTCAACCCCACAAGGATGTCGTCCATACCTCACACTTACATAGGTAGATGAGAAGTTCCCATTTTAAGTAATTACAGTCGTCCAGAAGTCCTTTATCGATTTCTCTCAGGACACAGGTTCGACTGTCGACACAATTTAGGAAAAACCGCGTGCCTGACGTTGAAATTCGGGGATTTTATAGAATTATTCTCCAAACCTTTTCTTTCAATTGGTTCTGACTTTTGCTTGTCTTTTGGTCCCTTCCCGTTTCCAGGTGAAATAGGATCGGTTCGGGTTCCGGAAAAAATTCTACCTGAGACGATCTATCGGACACTCTGGTCAGGAAGTAACGATAGAACTAAGAAACTTGCGCTCGTAATTTAACCCGTTCTTTCTTTCTTATTGTTCTTGACAAATTTTGATCGCTAACGATTTATTGCGAAGTTTTCCTTTATGGCAATCTTTCTCTCCCCCCCGATTTGAACTTCGTTTATGATATACGAGCGCTGATGTTAAAGTTCGATCTCTCAGGCTTCACGCTGATCGGTAATTTAACACGTGTCTGAGTTGCACTCGGGACTGGCTTGTTTACTTTCTCGTCGCATTCTCAAATAAACAAAAATCTGTGTCTAGCTGCAAACATTTTTTTTTTTTCTTTCTTTTTGCTCTAACAACAAATAATTTTAACGCGAATTTTGGTGTAAGTACGTCGATTAGAGGGGAGGAAATTTTACTCCTTTGTTCAGCATGGTCTAGGGCCCTCGCGTATGTGGGTGTCGATGATGGAGGCAAAGAAAGCGTTTTACAAAAACCGTTTATTTTGCCGAAGTTTATGCTTACACCAGTATTTGACAAAGTCCAAGAGTTAAACGGTGTTCCGACGGCAGTGTCGATTCAGGAAGTCGTTCTTCTGATGTCCTGATGGGACAGCGGCGAGTTGGAGTCCGGTCCTATTGCACACTGTAGACCTGACGCCTCTCATTAATGTCACAGAGAAAAAGGATTGTAGATGACAGAGAAGGAACGACCGTCATATCTTTGAGTAACTACGTTTTTGTAAGTTTTTTGTTTTCGATTAGTTTTCTAATTGGTAGGGCNATAAAAATATGTTAAAGTTAATAGTCATTTGTTTTCTAACTAATTCGTTTTAGGACCAAGTGTTGTCGAAGTAACGGTTAATTTTTTAACATTATACAAGAATTATAAACGTTTTTTTCTACATCCTCTTAAAGATGGGATATACGAAATCGTAATATCACCAGTTTAACATTGAAATCCGTGAGTAATATAAAATCGGAGAACGGAATAAAAATATCAACTATATTAATGGATTTTTTAAACTATTGTCAACTATACAGAACTATCGTAAAAACATACCAGTAAATTCTTATCGATTGGGTTAAGTTATAAATCTACTCGTTATTCACGTAATCGGCTAAATATCTAGCGGGCGGGCGGCTAACAGCCCGGAACCGGTCCCAGATAGAATTGGAAGCGTTGGAATATGTAGCATCAACTCAAGATCGTAGGTGTCACAGAGAAAAAGGATTGTAGATGACAGAGAAGGAACGACCGTCATATCTTTGAGTAACTACGTTTTTGTAAGTTTTTTGTTTTCGATTAGTTTTCTAATTGGTAGGGCTTCCCCTTTCTTGCTCCCCTATTAGTCTTCTCACCTGTCTCCAGGTGGAATTCGAGACCAATTCCGGTCAGCGAGAAAGGTCTGCCCGGGATGGTTTAACTGACACCATCCTCTCTCTTACTAATAGCGAAAATATCAAAGTCCGGCGTCACCGTCTCGACGTCGGTAAACCCGACACCTTGCAAATAGCTGTTATTTCTCCGCATTAATAATTCTTTTAAAGTTTTAAATTTTACATCCTTTTTTGGTTCGAACTATTTCCGTGGCTTCACACAGAAGGACTTTCTTTCGTTTTAGAAGGAAGTTCCTGAGGAGAGATGTTGACTTTGATATCAACTCAACAAGGAAGTTCCTCTTCGCTTCTCTCCTCAGATGGCTCGAATCGTTTTTAATTATTAGACGGATAAAATTCTATAAATAGGGCCAAACACAAATGCCCAATGCTGGAACTGGAAACCGAACTCTCAAGAAAGTTCGTATCTAAATGTAGGAAATAGCGGCAAACCCAGCCAAAGATTCAGAAAAAGATAAGGAACCGAAATGAGGTATTATATTTAACTCAAATATGTAAACTCCTCTCCTAAGAATAGATTTAATGGATTGAATTTAGAGATTTTCTCTTGAATAATTGTCGAAATGGATATTTTTATTTATTTTTGTCATTATACTCTTCTCGCAGATTTTATCACATGTATAATTTTTATATCTAAATAAACATTTTTATTATCATCATCAGGGGCGTGCCGTGACATTTGATGATAGGGAAGTTGTGTTTCTGTAAGAAGACGACATCCAGGGGCAATCAGTCAATTGCTCGTCAGTGACGGTCTAGGGTCCATTCGTATCGTTTATTCGATAAGCCAGTAAAAACCGTAGACTTCTCTAAATGCATTTTTAATATCACAATTACATTCCGAATCGCTAGCCACGATATAAGGGCTACAATTAAAAATAAAATAATAAAAACTTACTCGGTGAAATAAAATATGTGGTGGATGTACTGGTACATACAAAATATTCTTCAATTATATGAATATACTTTTAAAGAAAATTATAATTAAATATAGCTTTGGAAAGAAACGTACATAAAAATATAAAATATTCTTTACTTTTTAAATGTTAAAACTTACAAGTTAGTCAAATAGCTCCCTACGAGTGGCTAATGGATGGAATCGAAGACGGTTGCGGAGCGTGCACACACGCGGACTGCCCCAGGGTGCCGATACCGGTGACTGTCAAATACTGTCATCTTTTGTCGCATCATTAGTATATCTTAAAGGACGCGACAGGGCTGTTGTAGATTTTAAACGTTTCTCACCATAGCTATAAAAATATGTTAAAGTTAATAGTCATTTGTTTTCTAACTAATTCGTTTTAGGACCAAGTGTTGTCGAAGTAACGGTTAATTTTTTAACATTATACAAGAATTATAAACGTTTTTTTCTACATCCTCTTAAAGATGGGATATACGAAATCGTAATATCACCAGTTTAACATTGAAATCCGTGAGTAATATAAAATCGGAGAACGGAATAAAAATATCAACTATATTAATGGATTTTTTAAACTATTGTCAACTATACAGAACTATCGTAAAAACATACCAGTAAATTCTTATCGATTGGGTTAAGTTATAAATCTACTCGTTATTCACGTAATCGGCTAAATATCTAGCGGGCGGGCGGCTAACAGCCCGGAACCGGTCCCAGATAGAATTGGAAGCGTTGGAATATGTAGCATCAACTCAAGATCGTAGGCTTCCACCAGCTAATCCGGGTGAGGTTGGTGCTCTGTAAAGCGCGTGCGCAAATCTGGCTTTTTGGAATCTGACAATACAGAGATTCCACTCCGCCACTAATATTCGAATATACAATAGCAATCTTATTTTTTTTTTTCACGTGTAGTATGGAAATTTGTAATAAGATACATAATGCGGTTATAATAAAATATCGTGCAATTATTTTCATATAATTAAAATTAATATGTATTTATTTTTTATAAAATACAAGGGAAGCGGCGCTTCCACCGCTTCTAATGACGGCACGCTACTGATTATCATTCTCTTTTATGAATACCTAACTCCATCGTATTGGCATTAGAATGGCAGGGGAATGACCACGAAAAAATAAAAAGCGAGAGAACGGATCGATGATGACGTTCGGTTGTCCGGTTTAAAAGTGTTTTCCGGGTTTTCTCCACGTCTGTAACGCCTAAATAGGGGAAAGTTACCCTTGAAAATACCTCCCGGAAAGCATTGCGTTGCCATAACTTAATAAAACGAAACAGGACTCATCATCAATCTTACACTAATTCTATACCCTTGTAAATTTTAATAGACTTAAATAATAAATATTTATTTATTTAAAGGGTGAGGGGTCAAAAGAGGCTGAAAATACTAATTAATTAACCCAAAAATTGTAAATTTTGAAACGCCATCTAGTGGAATTTATATGTATTATAAGATAGTATCGCTTTCAGTGTGAGAGACACCGAGTAAGCGTAATTTACGCACGTGCTAGTGAACTGTTCACTAGAGGTCACTGTAAGAACCGGAAGAACAACATTTCGCGGAATGAACAACTTTACAATGGTCATAAAGAATGACTAAGAAAGTTCAATACTTATCGTTTTGTTAAAATATATATTTAATTAGGAATATAATTACAATGTAAAAGCCTTAAAATTGGCTCCGATTATGGACAATTACGTTAGAGATATTTTAGAATCGTGGAATTTAGGAAGTTACATTGACGTGTTTGAAGGTGAGTACCCGCAGTATCCAATGAAATATTACTGAGTATCTTTTGTTTACAAATACTATTGTTTATTGTATTACAGCAATATTTAAAATATAATGTTTATAAATTGGAATTATTTTATATGGAGTATATTTATGGTGAGTGTTTAAGGGTGTTTTAATTAATAAAGATGTAAAAACCTGTAACAAAGAAATTTACATCTTTATTTAGAAAGCATTTAAATGTTATAAAACTAGTTTGATAGTAAGTTATAATGTTACTCTAATTACTTCATTAAAAATCGGTCAAAATTCTTTAAATGGATGGTGAGTGTATCATGTATTGAATTTTCTAATGGGTAAGTGATCTTGATTTCGAATGGGTAAGTGATCTCAACCACGAGTCTCGAGTTATAGCATGGTTTATTGGATTATAGCAAATGCAAATGGTTTTGGGGTATCTAGTGATGCGACCGCAGGCCCGTTCGTATTTAACTTCTTAGCGAGAGCTGCCCGTGTAAATCTGATGACTCTTGTTTGTAACTTGTCCACGTGTCTTCCTCTATCCTGTTAGAAAATTCAATACGTGATATGCTCGCTGACCATTTAAAGAATTATAAGTTCACGGTGACTAATTGTACTGTGTCGAAAGAAGGTTAAAATTGTTGAACCAGTCAAATTTAGGCTCCAACTTTTTGACTACTTAATGTATTATCAGATTTGACAATGAAACACTTTTATTTTGAATATTTTGTAATTTTTATAGACTTCTATATTATATAGTATGATTAATTAAAGTTAAAATGCAAATGACAAGAAGTTAAAAGATTTTTATGTTTGATTTGATCAACAGAAAAATCTTTCAACTTATTGTCATTTGCATTTTATCTTTAATTCATCATACTATATAATATAGAAGTTTATAAAAATTACAAAATATTCAAAATAGAAGTGTTTTTAGCATAAGTAATGGAATGAAAAGATTATAAATATAGTGAATAAAGTTATGTCTATGTCTATCTTAAAGACATCTACTTATTATGGTTTAAACCAGGGGTGTCCAACCTTTTTGTTCTTCTGGGCCACATTGGAAGAAGTCATGGAGTTTTGGGCCACAAGTATATATAATATATTTGTGACCCAATCCTTAAATATACAAGTATGTTTAAGGATTAACATGTCTAGATTATAGTAATAAGTATTAAAACTTTATCACGAACAAGGATATTTTAAAAAATTACTTCTACAGGCCCTTTCAATTTTTACTTAGAAATAAATAAATTCATTTATTATAAAGGAAACAAACAAAAAATAATTTGAAAAACACAAATATTTGTTTTATTTGGGTCTCTAATTAATAGAAAACGACAAAACACCATTTTAAATTGCATTTTTATTCGACTAATATATTTATAAATAATATGTAGCCCTGAAAGTAGCCAATGCGCGAAATGATAATTTTTACGCCAAACTGAAAAAAGGGTAGCCAAATCTTTCAATGATCTTTCAATGCTGGAAAGAATACTAAATAATGCTGGAGTTGGAACTCAAAGGATTATAGACCCAAAGTTGAGAAAAGGAGAGAAAGGCCAAAAGATAAAAAGTAGTGAGAAAGGTTAAATAGACCTTCTGTTATGCAAATATTGACCCTTAATTTTCCAACTTTCCTCACTACTTTTTATCTTTTGGCCTTTCTCTCCTTTTCTCAAATTTGGGTCTCTAATCCTTTGAGTCACAACTTCAGCTTTATTTAGTATTCCTTCGTCATTCACACATCTCCAAGTATTTGAAAATATTTCCTTTTCACTCAAAAATAAAATATGTATAAAAGTTTACAGCTTTGTGAA